CTCCCGCATTCGCTGCAGCAAAACGCTCTTCCCCCAATCAAAGCCTCGCCCTCGACCTCGTAGAGCCAAAGTCCTTCTTCTCCGACTCCTTCTCCGCAGACGACTCCATACGCTCCCACAGCGCTTCCGCATCGCGTCTGCCTTCCTTCTCCTCGGAATCCCTCCACGTCGGCTCCAACCCATCCACCTCTCGTCGGGGCTCCGACCAGCCCGCCAACGACATGGGCACCACCGAGCGTCATGCCTCCGAGATGTCTCACTCCTCCTCTTACCAGAGCGCCGTCTCCTCGCTCGCCCATTCGTCCGAGCGCAGCAAGCCTCAGGTCACACCACCTTCCTCCAACGCATCCAGAGCGCCCACCAACGCGCCCAGGTTCGGCCTTGGTATCCAGACTCGCACCATGCCTGCCTCCAACCAAATCCATCATCAAGTCGCCCCTTCGCTCGAAGTGGTGCCAGAAGCACGCGAATCGCCTTATCTCGGCAGTCGCGCAAGTCAGGCCGCTTCCACTCCAAGGCTCGGCGGTCCGTCCGAGCCCTTGACCATCTCTACCTCCTTGCCGCCAAACTCAGAGCCAACGTGGGGCCAGAGCTATGCGCCTCTGGACAACATGGCCGGCTCCCTTGCCTCCTTCTCTTTCCCGTCTCCAGCGCCATCATCCGCCTTTCCCGGCACCACTCCGAACAAACACGGCCTCGCCGCATCGCTCTCCGCATCCAAACCATCATCACGCTCACCAGCCAGCGCCTTCCACTCGTCCAACCCCTCCATCCAATCCTTTGCATCCAACGCGCATCCCACTCCCTTTGCGTCGTCCCTCAAAGCAAACGATGCCGGATTTCTGCATGCCTCGGGCTGGAACCACGCTCCGCCCTCCTCGTACGCAGGCTCCGTCATCAGCTCCGTCGGCGCACCGTCTACCTTTGGTCTTTCCAATTTGGCACCCGCCAATCGTGACGACATGCTTCAGCGCCTCTTGCTCGATCAGACCCGCGTCGACTGCCAGGACTACGGCACAATGAGTCTCGAACAGGTGGCAGAGGCAAAGCGCGAGCTCAAGCACGTCGAGCGCAAGGTCCAGAATCTGCGCTCCAAGCTCAAGGTCGAAATCAAGATCCGCGATGCCGCCGTCGCGCTCCGCAAAGCCCACCGCAGGACAGCTGCATCCCCGCATTCACCCACCTCCTCCATTTCCCTTGCAGTTTCGCCCACCTCGCCAGGCTTTTCGTCCGCGCCAGCAGCCAGCTCCAGCGCCGCGCCGCCTCTTTCTGCAACCTCCTCATCCTTCTCCTTCGCCGCACGCAGCCGCGCCCTCAGCGTCTCCGCCAGCGAGGCAAAGGCAGACGAGGATGTCATCCTAGCAACCGCAAAGGTCGACAAGGTTGCCAACGAGCTCTTCAAGTGGACAGAGCGCGCCAGCTGGCTCCGTCGCAAGATCCTCGAGCACCAAGCCGCCACCCTCTCCGAGCGCGTCGTCCACCTCGAGTCCGACCGTCAGGTCATCGAAGAAAAGCTTCCCTTCCTCACCACTTCCGCCTCCTTCGAGTCGCTTGCCCCTTCCGCCTCCGCCTCCGCCGTCGGCCTCTCCCGCTACCGCGACGCAGGCCATCGCTACCAGCCCTCCGCCGACGAGCCCTACGTTCCGCGCGGTCCCCAGGACCCGCTCCGCCACAATCGTCTCGAATCAGACCTCAGCGCCATCAGCGGCTTCAGCTTCCTCGACGCATCCGCTCCCGACAAGCTCCGTCGTCTCGGCGAAGAGCTCGAGCGCAAGCGCGAAGTCGTTCGCAAGCTCGAACAAGACTTGAGTGCCAGCCGAGACGCAACCCAGCGTCGCGACGAGACTTCAGACCGTCTCACCCAGCAGCTCGAGGAGCAGTCGCGCGAACGCGCAAGCGCCGTCGGAGAGCTGCGTTCCTTGCAGGAGCAGCTTCGAAAGCACGAAGAGACGGCACGCGAGGCACAAGCCACCGCCGTCCGCGCAGCCGTGGCCGAAGTCGAGCAGAGAATGCACAAGCAAATCGAGCAAAGCCGCAGTCGCGACCTCGAAAAGGAAGATGCACTCGTCAACGCCAAAGCCGAGTCCATGGCTAGTACGCGCGCCGTCGCCGAGCTTCAGTCGCGCCTCGACACAAAAGACGACGAGATCAACGCCCTTCGCACGCGCGCCGACGCGGCAGAGCGCACGGCCGAAGAGCACAAGCGCAACTTGACCGACGTCCAGAAAGAGTCCACTCGACAGCTCAGTCAGGGCAACCAAGGCCTTGTTTCGCTCCAGGCCGAGCTTCAGGATGCTCAAAAGGCCCGGGATGCTGCCAACGCCTTGGCATCCAGCCGCGCCAGTGCGGTAGCCGAACTCGAAAAGAAGCTGGAGCAAGTACGCGCCGAGCTTGGCGCGGAGAAGCAGGCACGTGTCAGTGTAGACAAGCAGCTTTCGGAAGCGCAAAAGCAGCATACTCAAACGCGATCCCGCGCAGACGACGCGGACAGCAAGCTCAAGGAGCTCGAGCTCGCCGTCGGTGCCGAGCGCCGCATCATGGCAGAGCGCGACGAGCTCTTCCACGCCTTTGAGCGCAGGCTCGAGAGCGCCGAACAGCGTCTGCAGGAATCCGACAAGCGATGTGCGCGCATGCTGGGCAAGCACGAGGGCCGCGAGGAGATGGACGATCTCCTCGAGATGATCAAGAAAGGTGCCTCGGGCGTCGCAAAGAAGACGAAAACGGCGGGTCAAGACATCGCGGCTCTGCTGTCGAGCCTCGAGACCCATCTCGGAGATCTCGAGCTGGAACTCGCCCGAGCAAACACGCGCGACTCGTCGCGCGAGAGCATCGCACCGTCGGATTTCTCCTCGCCGGCAGTCAACGGAACAAAAGATCGAGCGACCGAAGCGAAAGCTCAACATCTCGAATCCGAAGTCGAGCGTCTCCAGGCACTGTTGGATTCGAAAGAGCGAGCAGAGACATCAGCGAAGCCGTCGCCCGTGGATACGGAGAAGGTGCAAAGCCTGGAGGCCGAGGTGCGCAGTCTCACCGAACAGAAGGACAATTGCAAGCGCCAGGGAGAGGAGCGCGTCACCCAGCTCGAAGGAGAGCTCCGTACACTCGGCGAACAGATCGACTTGCTCCAGCGCCAAAGACGAAAGGAGGTGGAGCAGCTTGAGTCCAAGCTCGGAGACCTCGAGGCCCTCAAGCGCGAGCTGGAGAAGAAGCTTCAGAGCGCCACCATCGTCGCCTCACCCTCGACATCCACCGACGCAGCGCCTATGCGAATGAGCAAGGGCGTCTCGCCGATGGTCTCCACCGTGTCACTGCCGAAGAAAGGAGTCGGCAACCTCATCGATCGATTCGGCGGTGGACGCAAGACATCGTCCGAGATGCGGCCCGAAGACGAAGCCGCGACGCTGCAAGCCTGCCTGCGCTCAGTCGAGGCGCTGCGTGCGCTGCTTCCCGACTTGTCGGCTGCTGCCAAGGGTTCTGCGGACCTGCATGCTCTGCGAGAGGCCTTCGAGGCGCGCGAGACCCCTCTGCCGAGTCCGACAGTATCGAGATCGCCCAGCTCGACGCGGATGGCGCTGAGCGCCACGGAGCTGCAGTCTGAACTCGAAGCCGCTACTGAGCGCGTTCGGAGCACGATCGCCATCAGCCGTGCCGTCATCGACTTGGCGCTCGAGTCCGAGTCGGGCAAGCAGCAACAAGGCGCGGAGATGGAGACGGAGCGCAATGGTGCGGCCTCGCAAAAGCAGGCCGAGGGCGCAGGGATGCAGCAGGCGCTCGTTTCGCGAGTCACGACGCTCACCGCCAAAGTCAAGCAGCAGGCGGAGCGCGAGAGCAAGCTCAAGGCCGAGCTGGCCGAGGCGCGCGAGCAGCTGGAGGCGGCGCGGTCCGCGCTGCGGGCGCCGGCATCGCCGTCCGGGTTGGTGCCGGCGAGCGACTCGATGCTGGGCCTCTCGACGTCTCCGGCCAAGGGAGGCGAGTCGAACGTGTTCAGCCTGCCCAAGAGCATCGGACGCACGGGATCGAGCAAGTCGATACGCTCGCTGTTCGTGGACAAGGCGAGCCCGAGAGCTGTGGCCGGGCTGCAGCTGCCGGCGAGTGCATCGCTCGTGCCGCCTCGTTCGCCGTCCGGGATGGACGTACTTCCGTCGCCGACGCGATCGAACTACAGCGTGATGTCGTCGCCCTCGATCCGGTACATCTCGCCGTTTGCCGCGCCGGGCTCGGACGCGCGGCCTCCTGCGCGAGCCGCGCCGGACACACGCCAGGACGGTGGAGCAGGTGCAGGCAACAGCTCGAGTGCGGATGGCTCGGGGCAGGGCGAGGCGTCTGACTCGACGTCGTTGCGCTCTGGCAGCAGTCCGAGCTCGACGCACCTTGGCCTGCCGAGTTCGGCGACGAGTGTGGCGGGCACGTCGCAGTCGTCGTTCTCGGTGCAGCGCGCTGGCGGCGGCGAAGGCGCGTCGGCGGCCGGGCCGAGCGGCATGATCAAACGCACCATCACACTCGGTATGGATGTGCCGCAGCTCGTCGAGCGCGTGCGCGAGCTCGAGCGGCAGCTTTCGCACACGGCTTCGATCCGGCAGCGCGCCGAGCGCGCGGGAGAACTCGAGGCGCAGCTGCGCGATGCGAACCACGCGTATGCGGTGCTGATCGAGCGCATGGATGCCGAGCGGCGCAACGATGCCAATCGCAAGGTCGAGATTCTCAACGAGCTCACCGATGCGCAGAGCCGGCTGTGTGTGACGCAGCGCGGACAGGCGCTTTCGCCGCTCGCGTCGCCCATGGGCCCGCACAAGCCTTTGCCGCCGCCTAAGGACTGAGCGGCTCAGCCGCCACTTTTGTACTTTATACACCACCCACCTACACTAGAGCATTTGAGGGATCATCGCCACATGGGCAGAGCGTCACATGCTGTGGAGATGCGATTGAAAGGCAGGCTGCGCACGCGGGAGGAAGGTTTGACAAAAGCATGAGATTCTGCGATGGAAGCATGTACAGGATGGTTAGAGGAATTTGCCGGTTTTCGAGGTGAAGCCTAGGCCCTCTTGGGAGTGGTCGTTGGGAGCGTTTCTGCGTAGTCTGCGTCTGGAGTTGTAGACCAAGCTATCGACGATACCCGCGACGGTCAAGATGCCTCCGACGATGGCGCAGGTGGAGGTGAGGAAGTGCGAGAGCGACTGGCGGTGTTCGGAGTGGATGGTTTTGAGGGGCGAGATTTCGTAGTTGAAGAAGACGCCGGGGACGCCTGCGAAGCCGTGTGAGATGTGGGCGCCAGAACCTTCGTTGGACATGCCTGCCATTGCGGCTGCATTTGCACCGGGGGAGAGGTCGCGCTCGTATGTTGTTACCGAGTACTGTTGGGTCTTGAGCGTGTCTCCCGAGAGGGGGCGGAATTCGGTAGAGACGACTTTGAGGAAGTACTGGAACATGAACTGGCTCTGCTGGGTCTGTGCACGTACGCCCTCGAGCGGGTCTTTGACGCCGAGCTTCTGCTTGACCTCTCGCTCCTTGGCGGTGGTGAGGCCGTGGTACTGCTGTTCGGAGCCAAAGCTAAAGTCGTGGATGATGTGGCCAAAGTCGTGATGCTCGGCACCTGTGCCGGAGAGGTAGGGCACAAGATCGTGAATGTGCACGCTGTTTCTCTGGAACGCCTTACCGGGCGACAGATGAAAGCTTCCCACCACCTTGTTGACATGCAGCTTGCCCGAGATCCTGCAACCCTCCTTGTTCTGCTCCTTGATCTTTTCAGACCAACCCTCTGCAACGCACTGATCCACATGGTCTGGATCGGCAAAGCTCCAGCCCTTCCGAACATACGCCTCGCGCACCTCGTCGCACGTGTTGCAGCATCCAGTTGCAGGAGGTTGACCACCATAGCAATCGCCACAGTAGTCCTTGCCCTTGGTAGCTGCAATGCGCGCAGCATCGCCCTTGAGGTTCTTCTTGCCCTGGGTGATGGGTTTGCCATCGTGCGTCACGCGCGTGCGCTCGATGTCGTGCTGAATATCATTCACATGCTCGCCCGAGATATCCATGACGTCCAGCGACAGCAGATAGCACGGCACGCGCGGGAAGGTGATGTCCATATTCACCGTCAGCTTCTCGCCGCGCGATCGATCCACTTCGAGCGAAGGCTTCAAATGCACCGTCCGGTAGTCGACAAACTCACCGATGGTCAGCACTACAATAAGCAGGGCTGAAACCATCGTGATGAGCGCACCGGCGTTCGTGCGGATCCGCACATCGTCCATAGTCTAGATCGAAAAGCCAAGTGTCAGAGCAAAGTCACGAGCTTCAGTCGTTGGGGATTGCGGCGCGCGACTTACCTTGGAAAAGGCATCGATGCCTCGAAGCTGGCCTAGCACGCCGTTTCTCCCCATGATGCCTGTGTGTGTGTGTGCGTAGTCGAGGGAAGCGCGATGGAGGAGCAGAACCAACACCGCCTGCAACGCCCACTTGACCTGCCTTGAGCCGGCTTTCTTCCAGCGTGGAAAGGCCAGCGCGCGCCGCCAGGGCCCTCTAAGTTCATGCCACGTTTAGGCGCCGGGCGCGTGCGGGGTCCGGCTCATTTCCACACACCCTCGGCCTTTCTCGCTGTTCACGCACGAGATTTTTCGGCAGGCCCCTCCAACTGCAGAAGTCTAACAGTGCTCGATTTTGCACCGCCATCTCCCCCACCAGCAACGCGGGTGGGGCTTCCGGGGGTCGCTTGCGCTCTGTATCGCCTTGAATGCGGTCTTCGCAGGGCCCCTCGCGGCCATTGACCGACGGCAGCTGGTGCGCTTTGTGTCGAGATGCCAATCCCGCGTCTGCAGCTTTCTTTTGTCGCCGCCCGGCCTCATTCTCATTTGCTCGCCGCCAGTCTTGCTTCGGCACGATTCAACCCCCCACGCTGCGACCAAGTCCACGCTCGCACTCTTGTCGCATTTGTCGCGTGGTGCACGGCGATGAGGAGGCCTGCTAGCGTTCAAAGCCATGCAGAGGCCCATGATATGGCGGCCAACACAGACTCGAACACCTAATGTCGTGGCACATTGGAGTCGTATTACACAAGAGCAGAGACAAGGACACAGCAACGCAAATCAAGACAGGAGCGAAAGGATTTTGGACTACTTCTTGTTGTCGGCGGCGGCGGCCTTGGCTTCGGCCTCGGCCTCCTCGCGGTCCTGCTTGATCTCTTCGATCTCGTCGTCGATGCCGATGGCCTCGTCGTAGTCCTCGAGCTCGGCGGTCTGGCGCTCGATGAAGGGGCGGATGAGGCGCTCAAAGTACGGGTGCTCCTTGAGCTGCGGGTTGTTGCGGCGCACCATGCGGAAGTACTCGCGGTAGATGTCGCCGTCGTGGCGGCCGATGGGCGAGTTGAGCACGTGGTCCGAAATGGCAAACGAGTCGATGAGCGGAATCGCAAACGTACGCGTCTTGGCGCAGTACTCGGTGACCTTGGCCGACGCATAGTCGAGCTGCGCCGGCGTGAGCCAGCCGGAGCGCAGGAAGAACGCCGCCTTATCCTCCATCTGCCAGAGGCCGTAAAACTTGGCGAGCAACTCGAGGTGCTCGCGCACACCATCGTCGCTCCTCTCGACACGCTCGACGGCA